TAAGACCTTTTATTAGACCCACTACAAAAGATAATTTTTTGCACAAATTTGTAGTGGGTCTAATAAAAGGTCTCATCGCTGAACCAGGAGCTCTTGAGTTTTTGGGTCTCTTCTCGTCTCAGACCAACACGGCTACCAAATACGTCCCTTGTATATTTTGAATGCTTAGCGCCGTCCCTGTGCCTAGGCTGCGGCGTGCGGTACAGACCTCCCCTTCTCTTGCATTGGCACTTCCCTTTCCCCTGCCCGTGTTTTTCCACTGGAGGGAGCGAAGGAGCTGGTTTTCATTAGACTGTGGCTGCCTTTGGCTGCAGACCTCTCCAGCCCTGCCACAAATCACCCCCAGCAAATATCTGATATTAACATATCTTGCAAGACGTCCTCAGCAATCACCACGTTCGGCAGCCCTGGTGCCGGGAGCGCTGCTGGGCAGGATTTCCTTTTTTCAACATAGGTTTTTGTGGCTGAAGCAAGCAGGCCAGAACGAAGCAGCTCTTTTCACTTGTTCATTCATTCGTTTTTTTGACAGAGAGACGCGATACAGAATGTGGAAAAGGCGTTTTCAAAACCATTGACCCATTTCCCTAAAATACACCATACAAACATTTCTTTCTAAATTAAATGCACCAACATATTTGCTATAATAACGGAGGAACCACCGAAGAAGCTGTGTATACTACAAAGCAGATCAAACAATGCAAACTCAAGGTTCAAAGCACAAAGGAGCAAATAAGAAAGGGCTACACCACTCAGGAATTTAATTAAGGAGGCATTAGTTAAGCAGTAGCATGCTGAGCATCTGCCATTACCATAACAAGGACAGGAGCCAGGGTTACTCAATCCCCGTCTTAGTCCTTGCTTGTTATGCACAGTGACATGCAGTTTGTTACAGAGTGCAGTCCCCAGTAGCACTTTGGTTGCTTTGGTATAAATGACAGCAGTCTGGTCCATCAGTTTAGAACAGTTCAAACCCTAACTTGATAGGGGGATGTGCATTGCAGCTCTGCCTTGCACCTCCTAAAAGCTCAGTGAGGCATGAGGCTGTTTCAGAGGAGTCAAGATTACACACAAGAACTGTCCAGTCTGGAGACAATGCTCATCACACATGAAAACCAGCAGAGATGAAGCTTCATAGTTTTCTTGGTCCCATGGGATCAGTTGATCTTGTTCTTTGTGCTCTCAGTACAGCGATTCAGAATGAGAGCTTTGCTGGGTCGGGGTGGAATGGCAGGCTGAGCCTTGGACTTGCTTTCTCTGGGTTCTTTGATCTCGACTGCAAATAAAAGGACGGGCATGAAGGTTCCATGGAACACCTGTGTCGGGTGTACCTGTGCACTAAGGCTGGGGCTTTGAAAGGAGGCAAAACATCCTACTGCCACTGAATTTTGACCCCAACCCATTTTTGCCACCAAAGTCAATGGTGCACAATCAGGCCTTAAAGTGCTTTCATGTAAATAGCACATTCGGGATGAAACCATATGGGATTTAGTAGGTTCTTGCCACACAGAATCATAGAAAATGAGGGTGGGAAGAGACCTCAGAAGGTCATCTAGTCCAACCCCCTGCCCCAAGCAGGACCATCCCCAACTAGATCGTCCCAGCCAAGGCTTTGCCTAGCCAGGTCCTGAAACCCTCCAAGGATGGAGATTCCACCACCTCTCTGGGTAACCTGTTCCAGGGCTTTACTACCCTCCTAGTGAGACAATTCCTCCTAATATCTAACCTAAACTTCCCTTGCTGCAACTTGATACCATAGTTCCTTGTTTTGTCATCTGCCATCACTGACTACAGTCTAGATCCATCCTCCTTGAAACCACCCTTCAGGTAGTTGAAACTTGCTATTAAATCCCCCCCTCATTCATCTCTTCATAGATTGTAGGGTTGGAAGGGACCTATTAGATCATCGAGTCCAACCCCCTGCTCTGGGCAGGAAAGAGTAGTGGGAACAAATGACCCCAGCCAGGTGGTTTGTCTCTTCTCCACATGACTCCTCTTAAAACTGTTCCCTCCCACTTTTTAAATAGTCAGATATTTTTCTGTGTCCTTTTATACACAGGCAGGTATGGAGAAAGCCCAACCCTAATGCCCTATCAAAATAAAACTATGCATGCTTTGCCCCTGGGGAGCAAACAGCATGTGATGGGTGTGCAGCCACGTTGCTTAAGGTGCCAATGAAAGGTCTTCAGCACCCAGTGATGAGTACTTTGTATGAACCTTCCCTGAACAGAATAGGCTGCTCCAGGTGATAGAAGCCTAGAGACTGCAGAGATATCTGCCAGCCCAAGGTTTAAAGGGGTCCCTGCGGGTTTCCTACAGCAGAACACTCATTGCTTCCTGCTGTATGGGGCCTCGGCCATCAGTCTAGTGCACTGAAACTTACTGATGGTGCTGGGCTTGTTCAGGAGACTGTCCTTCAGATTCTGCCGGCTCTGGATGTATTTCTTGCTGTTCCGCCTGTAGATCTCCTGGCTGATCTGCTTCCGGCTCTGGTTGTGGATGCTCTTGGCATTTCGGATAGTTGATCTGCACAGAGAAAAAAAGATGTCAGCTCTCACCATTGTACACGTAACTGCCTCCATCTCCCTGCTCCAAGCTCCTCAACACAGGACATTTCTCTTCTTGACAGCACTGTGGCAGAGCTGTGGACAGAGCATCCCCATCTGGTCAGCCAATGTCTGTTCCATATTATCTCTGGCAAAAGGGCAGTGAATCAAAGCCTGCTACTGTGGGCAGCTTTCTGCAATGGGTTGTGCAAAATTTGGCAGGCAGTGTCCAACTGCTACAACAGTGTTTTGAAAAGGAATGGGTAATTGTGAAGGAAGGGGAGGAAAGACTGTATCTATAACAACATTGGGCTCATCCCCAGATATCCAAACACAATGCCAAAGAAGGCAACTATCAGAGATCTTTTACCTCTTCACCTGTCAAAATAAAAGGACTTGCCCATGATTTCACATAGCATCTTGCACATGGAAGGAGAGTGGCAGAGCCATATCCCCTGACTTCAAGGCCCGTGTCCCACCCAGTGGATGACGCTGCTCCCATGTACATGTATTTATGGTATATGCTGTGATTCCAAAAGATGCTATTCTTGAATTACTATAGGAATCCATTTGTGAATGTATGTATGCACGCACACGTACAGAAATGTATGCCAGAACCTTGCATCCATATACATGCACGTAAATATTTATCCCTTTGACATTAGTGGCAAAACTGCCTTTGACCTCAGTGTTACCAGGACCTAGCTCCAAAAGAGATTAGACTACATGACTGTGAACTGTTTTGAGCATACAGTTGCCCAAGTCAGACCCATCTTACTGAAGAAAATACTGTGAGAAACGAAAACCAGCACAAAGACACAGTGCCAGGTTCACAGCTGGAAGAAGATGGCATGCTGCCATTGCACTTTCCTCTGGGATCTGGACTGGGACCAACTCACTTCTTCCTCAAAGTATCAAACAGCTGCAAGCAGATGAGTCCAGCTGTCCGTCACTGTTTTTTCTGCACCTTTCTCACCAAAGGTATGAGATGATCCATACTCTAGAATTATGCCTCCCTCAAATGTTCAACACACCTCACGTCCACAAAAATACATGTCCCAGTTTTACAGCTGCTCTAACAGGAACAGCTTTCTTCCCAAGAGAAGGTTACATACCCCATGAGGCCTGATTTTCTTGACTAATTCCAGTGACTCTAGGTGGCTTATCCAAACTGAAGACAAACTCAAAGCTTTAGACTAAGGTTTCTCTCACTAGCAGTACCTCCCAAGCTTCTTTGTTTAATGACAAAAGTGCCACAGTCACGGGTGCTGTGGAAATAGCACAGTTACAAACCCCACGTTTACTGCCCTTGAGGTACCAAGAGCCAGATCTTCAGTGGGTATAAATCAAATGGGGCTGCATGGAAAACTGTAGCACTAGAAAACTGCACGGAAAACTCATTTATGCCAATGGAGAACTGATCTGCAATCTGGCAGGGCTGGATTCAAGAGATTACAGAGGTATTTTGCAGCAAAAAAAGATGCAGTTAAACTATGCCCTTCCCAGAAGTTGTCACTGCATCAGCGTTAATGAGATACTATTGCTTTTTATCTTTTTAATCAAAATAAAATCCTTTCCATTAGCTCAAATCCTCCCATCAGATTAGGCTGTTTGGCAGCTCTTATTAGTCAAATCTCTCTTTGCGCTTCAAAGATTCAATGAAAGCTGTTTTAAAAAAATCCTACTTTAAAATGAAACAGGATTAGCCCAGAAAAGAAATTTGGCAAAAGCGCTCATAGATATAAATCTGACTAAAGAGAGAACTGGAGTGAGGGCCATCTGGGCACGTGTTGAGAAAGGCTCCACATCTTCCTCCCCCAACAATGCTGACAGAGGTCAAGACTGCACAGGCACCTTGCAGACGCACTGCCCACCTCTCACTGTCCTTCCAAAAAAAGGTCCCCTTTACCCTTGCTCACATCTGCCTTAGACAATTCCTCATTTTTAGGCTGGAAACCACTGCCTGGTTTCATTTTGTCATGCTCGACCAAGGTAATATGAACCTGCCTCCCAACCTACCTTCGAGGGGGGACACCTTTGTTCCTCATCTGGTTCTTTGCGGGGTTGTTTTCTTCTCCAGACTTCTGCAGATACATGGAGGGGTAATAGCCAGTGGTTTCATCCTTCCTGGGGTACAAAACAACCTTGTTCACCATGACAGCTCCTTTGCCATGGCAAAAGTGCATCCATACCCTTTCCCCACCCTCAACAGTGCAGCAGTTCTGGGTGAATTATTTTTGACATGCTTGGTGGCACAAAGGGTGGCAACCATCAACACAGCAACCTGTCTCTCTTCCCCATTGTGTCTCACAACGTCCCTACAGATGCTTTAATAACAAAGTGTTTTGATTCTGGAGAATGCATGGGTAATAGCAGTAGGCTGAGGGAGGATTCACATCATTTAGGGCCTAGTGGAATAGACTGCCTAGGGAAGTTGCAGACTCTCCATCACTGGAAGTGTTCAAAAAGAGGTTGAACAGATACTGGTCAGGGATGATCTAGGTGTAGCTACACCTATATTCTATTATGGGTATTTCCCATGCTTCTGGGGTTTGCTGGTTGCCCCTTCTCCCCCTTTCCACTACATGCATCAGGGTGTTTTTTAAGCCTTCCTCAGAGCCACTGGGTGTTGGCTAAAGCCAAGGCTGGGGACTTTGACAGTGCTCCTGATAACAGCCAAGCTGGAAGTTCCTGGCTAGAGGGTCTTGCCCCTCTGCTCAGGGTCCAACGAATTATCAGATTTCGGGTCAGGAAGGAATTTTACCCCGTGGTCAGATTGGTATGGACTGTGAGGATTTTTTGCCTTCCTTCGTAGCGGAGGGCATGGCCCTCTATCTGGGATCTTTCGAGCATATGTTGACAACATTTCATAGAAGCAGGACATTGGCTGCCATTGTTCCCCTGCTTTACCTGTGGAAGGTTAGGGCGTTAGGTCTGTCATGTGTCAGGGCTGATGGTAGTTTTATGTAGAGTTTAGATTATGGTTTGTATGGGATGGTTTGGATAAGGATGACCCTGGCTCAGGCAGGGAGTTGACCTAGATGACCTCTGGAGGTCCCTTCCAGCCCTACTTCTCTATGATTCTACGGGCATTTTTACACATGCTCCAGGAGTGTGGAGGGAAGGAAGGATGCTTTAATTGGAGCAGGTCCGAGAGCCCGGAGCGTCTTGTGTATCAGCGTCCCCAGGTTTCAAAATGGCGCTGGGGGTGCTTTATCTAAAGCTCGTTGAACAAGCTTCACTCATCCTTGATGCCTTCAACCTGACTGTGACCCTTACCTGACAACCCACCAGCCATCAAGTAGCTTATGGATGACTTCAATAGCGTCTCCCTCCTTCAGAGACATCTCATCCTCCTCAATCGCTGTGTAGCTTTTTCTGACAACGTAGAGTTCACCTGCACACAAGAAAATAGAACTAAGGAAGGCTCAGAAAGGTGTATGGCGTGCTAGCATAGCACCAAGACCTCCAGAGAGGACCTCTCCAGTGATCCAAAGTAGGACTTTGGGGTAACTGAGGCAGAGAAAGAAAACAGGGTAGTAAACTGGGTAGTATCCTAACAAGGGAGGAAGAAATGAAAGTGGGATTCTACAACATTTACAAAACTCTGAACTTCCTCAAACCCTAGCACATCAGGAAGTTTCCCATGTAAATTAACTTACCCTCCTTGAGTAATGCACACAGGTCTGAATTAAATAAAAAGTTCCACCAGATGAAATCCTGGGACCATTATATCCTTTCCTAATAACAATACCTCAGGCCCAGATGGCTACCCAAGTGACTTCTATAAATTATATTTGAAATAAATTGCCACCATCTTTAACAAGTGCTATAATCGCATACTGAAATCCAAAGAACAACCCCAAAACTTCCAAGTCATCACCCTTTGTCATAAAGAAGGCAGAGATAAAAAGAATGTGAAAATTACAGGCCCATAATGCTTTTAAATGCAGATTTCAAAAACCTATATATAAAAAAAAAAAAAAAACTTTAGCCAGCAAATTAAATGCTGTTATTGGCATGCTGGCCAAAATGGATTGGCATCAAGGCCAAATTGGATTTTATCCCTGGCAGATTTGGAATGGATAACATCAGAAGAACCATAAAAATAATACACCAAAGAAGGAACACTAAAGTCCAATAGCTAATTGTTTCATTAAATGTAGAAAAGGTATTTGACAAGATTGAATGGCCTTTTTTATTTGAGACTGTGAGTAAAACGGGCTTTACTGGGAATTTTGTTATTTGGCGTCCTGCAATTTACAAAGAACCTGAATCGCAGATTCTTATCAACATTAATCTCACTGAGCCTTTACAGCCAGAGAGAGGTACCAGACAGGACCGTCCTTGCTCTCTACTGTTGTTTAATATAGCCTTTGAACCACTAGCTCAAAGCATCAGAGAGAACAAAGATATCAAGGGAGTTATTTTGGGAGGAGAAAAGCATAAGGTTGCATTTTTGCAAATGGTGTGTGTATGTGTGTGCGCAAGCAGATCAATACCTGAAGTTGTAGGAACTATTGCAGCCTATGGCAAGCTCTCAGGATATAAAATGAACTATTATAAATCCTCTGCATTGGTTTTTGCTAAAGTGGATAGTGATTAGAGATCTCTAGAGGGTATAATCCCATTTAAAGTGGAACACACTGAAATAAAATACCTTGGAACTAAAATTACAAAAGATCCCAAGTGGTTAGACTAAACAAACTTTTTACATCTCATTGAACAGGTTCAGAAAGAACTACATTCTTGGAAAAAACCTTCTAAGAAGTTGGATAAGCAGCACTGACCCTGTGAAGAGGATGGTCCTCCCAAAATGTTACATAGGATGTCAGTCTTGCCCAAAAGGTTGCCAGTAATATTTTGTAAATGGCTGCAAAAAATTGGCGATAACTTTGTGTGGCAAAATAAAAAAGCCCAGAATCAATGGGAAACTAATGGTAGAGAACAGAAAAGAAGGGAGACTCAATGCTGCTGATTTAAAAAATACCACTGAGCAGTCACACTTAGAACCATAGAAATGTAGTGTAATCCACCACAAAATACTCCATGGGCTGCTATGGAAAGTAATGTACTTGCATTACCCTAAGTTCAGTGGTTCTAGATCAGTGATTCAGTGGCCCTAGATCTGTGGTACAGATACCACCAGACTACGCAGACAACCTGTCAGCGATACACGTTAATAGATTTATTACAATTATACGACAAAAATTTGCTGGTGGTACTTAAGGTTGTATCATTTTAAATTGGTGGTGCGCAATCTGTCAGAGTTTGAGAACTGCTGCTCTAGCCGATGTGGAAATAGATAATGCCTCACCCCCCCCCATTAAAAATCAAAAGCCTAGGAATAATAATTTAGCAGTCATTGCAGGAAGAGAATAAGAGCAAAGGACAATAAGGTACCTGGCACAATTATTTTGCACTAAAAGTATTTTTTTTGATGCAATCAATGTAATATTGGATAATACATGTAATACATTTCAGAATATGCAGGAAAGAAGGTTTTCAACACAATCGGATAGGAAAAATCTATTTTACTTGTTCTCCAACTGTGATTAAAAGGACACTTTGATTTTTCCTCAGCTAAGGCTATTTTCACCAAAAGTTATGCATCAGTTGAACCCTAAAACAGCAAATCTCCAGCCACATATGTTAAAAACTGAGAGAGTCTTGGGTACATAACTCTCAGAATTAGAGAGCAAAATAATGGACAAACACCCACATTCTGCCTCCTTGTCTCTGGCAACAAGACAGACTTTGGTCAGATTACTGCACTGAGCATATCTCTCTCCGTCTAGATTTAAAATATCCAAATGATACTTCTAGCTTGCTGGGAGGGTCACATGCAAAAAAGTACCACCATAGAGATATGGTGGAACTACCCTGATGTACAGGGTTTCTGGATATCTTCCAGAAAATAAAACATTAATGTAGTAACTGGATTGTGGTTCCCCCACCCTTCAACCAAATTTTTCCTTCTTGGGATATTTGCCAAGCTTCCAGCTATGGATTACTACAAATCTCTGTGCATCCACCTCATCTCAGCAGCTGTCAATGTGATTGCTAGAGTCTTGGAAACAGGAATCCACACCAAATGAGTGAGAATGGATAGGGGGAATACCATACATATTCACCATGAAGAATCTTCCCACTACACTAAAAGATAAGTATGAGGATTTTTATGCCACCTGGTTGCCATGCTTTGACTATCTGAAAGAAAAGCATCGCAATTAGTTTGCAACATGGAGACAGAAGTCTATTAAAAAATGAAAAGGCAACAGGAGCAAAACCTAATGGACAGTGACTTTGAGGGAAGTCACTGGAACATTTATGTAGAGGACTACAAGTTATAGCCCAAATGTGTTTTTGTTCTACTGTTCTTTATCTAGTTACGTTTTTATCTGGTTCTGGATTTGTGTTCAGAAAAAAGAAAAGAAAAAAATATTTAAAAAAATAATTGGGGTGCGTTTATGTGGCAGAATTTCCTCTGGGCCTGCCTTTTAGCTAAAAGTTTTAGAAATTTTCGCTAATGCAGCCAGGCCAGATGCAGGTAATGAAAGTATCACGAGTCAGCCAGGCTGGCTGTTTAGTAGCTCCTTAATCCTGCGGTCAGAATAAAGAACAAGAAGTTACTCTTTGCTGGAAATATGCCCATAATCATGAGCCTGCAAAAAAACCCAAAAAACCTCCTTCCTCCTGTTTTGTGAGAGATGACTTCAGTGCCTTTGTGGCTACAAATGCCAAGAGTCAATAAAAGAGCAAAGCAACTCGTGATGCAATCTGACCTTTCTGCACCGTCTGACTAAAGGACAAGATGTAAAAAGATTCTACCTGCGTTACTCCAACACCCTGCTCAGCAGTACTAAGGAGATGTCCACAAGGGGTTAGCAGTTTGACCGTGGCTAGCTGGCATGATGTATTCTTACCTGCATAGTTGGGGTCTTGCTCCTCAGACTCTTCAGGACCATCCATGGGCTCCAGGTAGGCAGCTGGGACCCAACCCCTTTTATTCTTTAGCTGACAGAACCACCAGCCTGTAACACACACAACAGCGCATTGTTACTCAGTCCAGATGCAGAGTGTCCATGCAGAGCTTCTACAATGAGGACTATTCCCAAATAACTCATCGGGAAGAGCTACGTTGGTACATTTCCAAGTGTGAACAAAACCTCCATTTTGCTTTGTCAGAACATAAAAGTGAGGTAGAGCCGCTGGGCATTTCTATACTAGTGAATATATTAAGCAAGGGCTGTAATCTGACAATATAGGGCTCTGTTCTATGGCATTAGAGTCCTAACACTACATTTAATGCCCGTGAAAACTACTTGTGATAATATTTCCCTTTGTGATTATTAGGCAACAGCTGCGTATAAACTGCCCTTCCTCCTACAGGTTCCTGACCGCCAAATCTGTATGCAGCAACCAGCTTGGGCTTCACTGAAAGGCAGTCACCTCTGGGATGAAAGAAAGATGTATTTATGTCTGAGCATCTTTCAGTGGCAGGCAAACCAGAGGACAGAAAAAAAGAGGAAGTACATATATTCATTGAGCCCCCACCTTTTATATATGGTTCCTGTCACTGTTCATTAGCAGAGCATGCCTAGAATGCTATTAACAGTCTATCAAACCTTGAATAGGACTCAACAAAAACTGACCCATGTATTTTCTAATGGCTTGTAGCACAAGTCATGAAGGTGTGTCTGAAGGAGAGGCAATACAGTGCAAGGGAGTATGCTCCAGGTGTACTAAACAGCCCCATGGCTACCCATAAACCGTACACAGTGAGCCAATGGTTGTGGATGGGAAGCCATTGGTGTTTGCCCCCATATCTTCTTGGATAACATGATTTAGGAACAGGGGTTTGGGCGTCAACCAGCATGAAAACAGAATGTGGGAAGTTGCTGTCATGCGCCAAGCATGGGGATCACATAGTTCATGCTATTTTCTCCTGTGACAACAACCACCTCCCTATGACTCATGCAAGGAACTCCATGGATTTTCCCAGGCTCTCTCACAGATAGAAATCTACTGTCATGCGGAAACATGTGGCGTTTTCCCATCCCCACCACCCTTAAAAGGGTTGCCTTTTCCAAGGGCTCTGCTCTTTCAGACCCGGTTGACTGGCTCTCTCAGATCATTCCCTGTCATCAAGCTTGCTCTCCCACGAGCCTCAGTCGTGGGCTGGGACCTGTAGCACTGTATGCTATGCACAGAATAAGCACAGTGCTACCCACAAGAACCACCAGAGGAAGCCAATAACACATTGCAAGTACGGAACATTGCACAAGCAACGTTCATTAGTGCAACCCCACCCTCGAGAAGGAGGGTGGTGATGCTATTTTCCATTTACAGACACACCAGATGGTGATGCCCCTTCCCTGAGTGCTGCAGGGGCATGGCTATGGTCACAGCAGAGTACACATGAGCGTGGGGGACATCCTGGCAGGGATGGAGAGTCCAACCCACCAGCTGTGGTTGTAACAGCTCAAAGGGATGAGAAAGGTGCCTCATCGCTGCTCTGACTCAGTGCTGGAGCAGGGATGAACTGGGCCTCTGAAACTGTCCAACGCCACCAGACAAGTAAGTGGCTGGGCCAGGAATGCAACCCCGGTACGTTCAGGTCTCAACCCTACTCCAGCTGCCTCTGCTAAAAGAATTCGATAGAACTAGAGGCTGGCCCCTCCCCAAAAGGTCTCTGTGACTTGAAGACCGTCTCAACTGCAAACTGAGCTTGTCATCAGTGCTGTGCAGATGTGGCTGCACCACTGTGGGTCTGTGAGTTAGGACGGGTAGACCCATGCACCATGTTTGAGCGCAGTGCTGCTGGGCACAGCAAGCTGGCAGCCTAAATGTGGCCAAACTCCCTTGAGCCTTGAAGCCAAACACAAACTTCAGGGTCTGGTCTTTCCCTCTGCCATGGGCTGAAACAATAACCCAGGCCTGGTAAACTCAGCACAATGCAACTGAGGTGCCCCTTTAAAGAGCCAAAAGCTTTTACCACTTTCACTCTTCTCCACGATATCCACCAAATCCCCTGTTTTGATAGCCATCTCAGATTTGGAGTTCTTCTCATAGTCACTGATTGCGCGATATGTCTGCAGGATGATGGGACCAGTGATATCTGCAGGAGAGAAGAGGGAGAATTTGATGAGTTCCTTTAGCTACTTCCCATCCAGCAGTGCAGCAGCCCAGCTCTACCCAACTGAAGCCTGGAAGCTGGGGAAATGCACCAGAAACTCAGTGGGAAGTGCTAAAGCCTCTCAATCTCTAGTAGATGAGGCCAGCTCTAGTGTTTTTGTGATGTTTGGGGCACTTTCAGAAGGAAAAAAAAAGGGCAGCAGAAATTTTAACAACATTAACAAGACAGCCACAGTGACCGGCAGCTCTTAGGAAACTTGCATTCTTCATATTCAAAGCACAGCATCCAGCAGCTAACTCTGGGATTTAAGACAGTGCACAGACCACCAGTAACCTAGGCAGTGTTTGCCCATCAGAGGCTGCCAGCATTCAGGCACAAGCTGCCACCCATGTTGTGCTGCCCTGAGCAATCTGGTCCTGCCATATGGCTGTGCACATGCATTCTAGTTCTCCAGGGAGAGGAAATCCACTGTGAGCTGCTAGAGCAATGAAACAGCAGATAAAGTGCACCTGTGCAATAAGCAGGGGCTTGCAGATCCACCGGCTGCTGGGCGGACAGGTTGGGAGATGCAGCCTGACCAGGAAACTAGACCATGAAACTTTGAAATCTTACACGGAGAGATCCTCTGGAGGGGAAAGGCCCTAACCATTCACTGACCCAGGTCTCCCCACTTTGATCAGTCACTCACTCATTCTCTCTTACTCTAGTCCAGTGAAACTTTTGTGGTTGCAGAAATCCATTTGGCAGCGACCCGAGTCCTGGCCCCACGGCACTGAGGGGCAAGTCACCGAACCACATTCGAGGATGGGTTCCCCAGCACTGCCCAAGACACACTCCTACTCTGGAGGGGATTCTGTGGGCATGTTCCTTGGGTATTACTGGGACCCCATGCTTGCTGCAGCTTAGACACTGAGCTGCTTGTCGGCCTTGCAGCAATCGGCGCCCTCTTACCTGTTACATTTTGCTTGGAGTCCTTTGGCAACAGAAACGTCTCGGGTGTCTTGATCCTAAATAAATGACAACAAAGTCCACGTAAGGGCACTGGAGATGACTGCTGGTTTCCTTTCCATTCCTGTCAGTGACAGGTGTCCCCTTCCTCCATATAAATGGCAAAGTGACATTTGCAGCAAGGAACATTTTAATAATGGTGTTTCTGAGTGGATGAAATGATGTATTTAAATCTTTTGGTGCGTGTCAGTTTGAGCACAGAGCTCTGACAAGAACAACCAGTATGACCTGATTTCTTCTGTGCTTCGGTTTTGCTGTCTTTAAAACAGGAATCATAATAACACAATAAGAGAAAGGCAAAAGCAAGCCTCCAGAAAGATGTGTAGAAGGGGGCATATGGCAGGAGGCAAAGGGGCTGCGAGTGGAAGAGGTTATACTCACAAACTGTCTGTAGGTGGGTTCAAGTCATCAGGCCTGACTTTGAAGAAGGTCAGCACATGCGGGCATCTGGAAATCTTGCACGGCAGATTCACCAAGGAGTAGCAGTATTCGGTAAGTGTGCCTTGCCTGTTCTGTGTGGATCTATGGCCATCAAACCACTTTGGTGCTAGAAAGGAGATGAAAGGAGCAGACTCAGAAAGATGTATTTTTTAAAGCTGGCTGTGCCTTCAGTCTCCAGCTGCAGCGAGATACCTCATATCAGTGGCATAACTAGGGTGGTGACCAAAACACAAGCCCTGGGTGCCCACTTAGCAGGGGCACAGGAATGGCAGCCATCGCTGCTGCTGGCCCAGTGCAAAATCTGGTTGTTACAACCTCTGCCTCATGTCCTCCTCGCACAGAGCTGGAAAGCACCACAAATTGCTCAGAGCTTTAGTTACTGCCCGTTCCAACTGCCCTTTGACACTTGAAAAGGTAATGGCATTTAGGAGCATCCCAAAGCCGCCTCCTCAGACACTACAGGCAACCTTTTCCACCACACCAGTTATTGCTGACTGCAGAAAGCTGGCACGTAGAGAAAGCCTCACTAGCACTTGGGAAAAACGTGTCCCCTCTATTCATTTTCAGAGAGCCATTGTGAAAAAGGCACTGATTTTAAAGCAGCTCTGAAACCGCAGCATGAAGTTCCCCAGTTTGCAAACACCTGGGACAACTGCGCGTACTGAACCAAGACAGGAACTCTGCAGTGAAACTAAGAGACAGAGAAAGGATTATGCTGAGCCTCAACACCCACTCGGGAGAAGTCTGTTGTGAAGGGCAGTACAAATCACAGCAAAAAAGCCCGTTATTAATCTCAAAAAGGCAGAGAACACCCCCAGCCTCCACCACAAGATTAAGCCCAACACATCTTCCTGTGGGTCATCGAGTCAGAAAAAGGCTGTCAGCTGCAGAGGCAATTCTCTTGTCCTATGGTCCAAGGAAGCTTAATCGGTTGGTTCTAAAGCCAGAGAATGGCCATATGGTTTTAACAGCCAGGGTGATCCTAATCCAGACTTGGTGATGGGAGAAGGGCCCAAGCCAGCTGACCAAGATACCTGAACCTTTGACATTTCATAATCCAAATAATACTTCCTCAAAACCAAGGGATGACCACGTCTGGCGGAACAAAGTTGATAACTCATCTTGGCTTGTAATCTGTTGCTAAACCTCACTGTGTTTTAAATACTGGTTTCAGATAAGAGTTAAGACGAAGTGTTGTTGGGGACAGGAAGATGAGCACAAGTGCTAATTCTTTAGAACTGCAGCAGAGTTGCCAGGAAAGCAGAGCAATGCAGTTATTAGTCTAGGAGGAAATGCATCTGCCTGTGATTCTTTAACAGTGCCTCATAGCCCAGCATGTCTGCATAGGAAAATGAACCAACCAGCTCATTCTCCTTATTGCCTAGAAGGACACTAATGCAGCCATAAGTGATGATCTCATACAACCGCCAAACTAATTTATTAGCCAGCAGGGGACTTTCAGTTCCTCTGATTTCTACAACACTCTGCTCTCGCTTGGGCTCGTTGTGGCCATTTAGGGAAATTAATGTTATAAATACGTGGTGGGTTATGAACTGCCCTGGTGGCAGAGTCTCAGAATCGTGATGTACGGGGGATACGTGCAGTTTGGCTGCTTAACAATGAATCTGATCGGCGTGGGCCTCCCAGAGGCCCCTGGTTCCGTGATATCTATTTGTTGAACCTCATAGGACTGAGGTGGAAACCAAGACAATTCCCCTCTGAATTTCATGGTCACCAAATATAAGGATTATATTAACCCCTGCCAGGAACTCTATTTCCTCCTCTGCCCTGGAGGTTACATTGGCCAAAAAGCTCTGCTTCTGCTTAGACGTCTACTTGGGCAGAATCACTCAGTTCCCCTCTGCTCCCATAGCTCTGAGCTGTAATCAATGCACAGATCAACCTATAACTATCCCCACATAGAAAACACTCATCAGATTTTAAGCTCTGCAGGCCAGGACTCATTTCTTTCATGCCTTGTACAATACAAAGCACACTGTCGGAGCCTCTTATGAAACACAGGAGATATACAAAATGAAGCAGACTGTCACCAATTGGTTTGCTGGGTTGCTGTAACTTTAGGACATTGAACCCTGAAGTAACAATGCGGCAGAACATTGTAATAACTCCTTTGGTGTTTATAGCCAAGCCTGGTTTCCTGCTGGTTGCTCTGCAAACATACAGGTAACAAGACAGTGGGGGAGTGGCAGCTGGGGTAAGCAGATGTAGCTTCCCAACTCCCTCTCAGCCATTGCTATCCTTCAGTGTGCAAGAAAGACATGTCTGAGCTCATATAACTTGGGAAGGTGCACATGGGTTTTGTCTGGAATTGCAGTGAGTCGTCTCATGCTTCACTGGTGCTCTTCAGTCACAACCAGTGCTCTTCATTGTACAGCAGCCCTGACAATTTTTCACGGCATTTCTGGATAACTCAGACATTGCCTCTTCAGCACAACCCTAACAACAACTTCACAGCAGAGCCGAGTATCTCTGTGCACCGGGAGCAGCTACGGAGATGGACACTGGTCCACTTCACTCTCCCTATGTTTCACGATTAACTCAACTCATGTCAGAAGCAAGCATCAGTTCCCCCACCATCTGCTCTTCTGCATTTAATGATGAAATCCTTCACAAGCAAAGAAGGAAAAACAATGGCAAACACACACAACCCACAGCCCAGAAACACACAAAAACAAACATAACTCACCCACCAACTCTGTTGCACAAGACAGGATGCCAGGAAATGAAATGAAACTGCTAGCATGTGCAAATCCATGCAAAAATTAGCATGCTACAGGAAAGTACAGAGGAGCCCAGAGGGGCATTCTCCAGTCAACTCTAATGTCCATGTAAGGACTGTTAGCTGTTGGCTTGTAATTGCTCAAGGGCCACTTGAATCAATGCCAGAGAAGATGTCTGGTACCTCGGTCCAGCTCTCTAACAATGCAGTGGGAAAACTCCCATTGATTTGAATGGAAGCAGCATGGTATTCGAATTGCTGCTCCGCTCGAAGACCTGTTATTCCAGGCATTCACCATCTCCAAAGTGCTAATGAACTAGCCTCCATAATCACAGACAGACAATAATGACACGAAAGAGGGAAACCAGCCAAGGTTGGGGACAGAACCCTGATCTCTTGCCTCCCCACGCTGTGCTTTGGCTGCAAGGCACGGTGTTGAACAGACAAACTCTTTGCCTGCCAGGATTTATCTCAGCAGCACCTGTGTGATTTTTACAGCAGTTGTTTGCATCATCCCTAGGTCGCAAGGGCAAGAGCTGCCCGGGGCTGCACCTGGCTGTGTATCAATGCTCTCTCTGCAGGGTAAGGTGCAGGCATTTTCCAACAAGCATGGTGCTCTGCCTGCCCCTGCCAGAGCTGGGACTACAGGCCATGGTGGTTTCTAACCTGACAGTTCGGGAAGTGTCCAACACAAATGCAGTTGCTTGCATTTGTCTGTTTTAACTAAAGCTTCTCAATTTACCCCCAAGTACCCACTGCTGCCACAAAACTGACACTAGAAGAGATAGTGCACATGCCAATGCTTATGGAGCTGTAACCATGAGGAAATACAGAATAAATATGAGAGCTTCTAGACCTACCAACCTAACCCCCCATGGGCATTTATACACATGCTCGGGGGGGGGGGAGCAGCACTTTAATTAGAGCGGCTCCAAGAGCTGCTCTAATTAAAGCAGTGGTCACCAACCAGTGGATCTCGATCCACTGGTAGATCTCAGAGCCTCTTGTGGTAGATCTCGGAACCTCTTGGAGTCGATCCGAGGCTGGGGTGGGGGGCTGAGTGCCCGTGTGCCCGAGTACCTGCTAGGGAGGGAAGGGGCGTGTGTTAGATCGAGGCCCCTGCAGTGAAGGGCTGTACCACAGACGCAGGAGCAGGGGTAAGTTGAGTGGGGCCCCAGCCTGGTGGGACTTACCTGCTGGGGAGGCACAGCCCCAAATAATTTTTTATCTATCTGTTCCCCCCCACTACTTCCCTCCCCACAGACTTACCTGCTAGGCAGCGGGGGAGGGGGAGGTGGTAGTACATGGTAGATCTTGGGTTGCTTTTAAATGTCAAAGGTGATCTCTTACTTAAAAATGTTGGAGACCACTGAATTAAAGCAACCAGAACACATTGTGCATCAGCATCCCTGTGTTTAAAAATGGCAGCGGGAGCACTTTAACTAAAGCTCGTTTGTTAAACACCCCCACCGCCATTTTTAAGTGCGGAAACACTGATACACGAGATGCTGGAGTCTGCTGGAGCACAATAATTACCACACTCCAGCTGACTGGATTAATCAAGCCTGCTTCGATGCACTGTAATTACAGCACATTGGAGCAGCCTTGCTGCTCGTGTCTAGGCGCTCCATGAGCCCAGGGGTGTAAGCATGTGCTGGTATGTACCTAGCTTTAGGTACTGCACCAGTTTGTCACACACCTAAAGAAGTCACTACTTAAGCTCATGCACTTTGAGTTTACACCACTGAAGACCAGGAGGATCTATGCGTACACAGCCATGCTCCACATTGTTTCCCTGGCAAAAGCCAAATCAGGATGTATGCCAACAAGGAATAAGAACAGCTACCATCACCGCTCTAAAAACCCAGCAGAACTGCTGCCACCCTTTTGCACTCCAGCTTCCTGCCCTGCTGGAGACACAGGCTGCTCTGCTGCTTACCTGGTAAGTGAGGGATGATCCTGTTCTCAATGCTGATGTCCCCAGATTCAATAGGGAACATTTCCTTTAAAGCTTTCTAAAGAGAGAGAGAATTCAGGGTGTTAGGCATATAATCCACTCAGAATAGCCAGAATGCAGGCATTTGGGCCCCTGCATATTTGTGCCTAGAGCTCCAGTGGAGGAAGTTGGTGGAAGAGACTTGTGAATAGGTAACAGGAAAAAACTAAGCTCAGCCTCTGCCTTTATGCCCACAAAAGGTCTGATTTGGCAGACCAATCTGATGGTCCCTAAAGAACTACCTAGCTGATAGTGCTGATGAATCAGGTGGTCACTATTCAGGGCCTGATCCTGAGGGTGCTCAGCACCTATACAACTGGGCATCTACAAAATGATCTGTCGACACCATTGAAAGTTCAGCCTAAGTGACTGTGGAGCCTTAGTCTCACTCTCCAAAGTGAGAACCAAAGTCCCATTGGCTTCTGGCAACACTGAGGAGCCTGAGCCCCCTTTGAAGACAGGCCTGAGACTTTCTTTACAGTGCTGCCCTTTATCACTTCTTTCTGCATTCCACTTGCAAATCAAGACAAAGAAATCATTAAAAAGCCCTGTGAGGAACTGAGCACAATGGTGCCCTTAGGCAGGAGGAGGGGGAGGGAGAGATCACTGCCCATTTGTTGCAGAGAGGGCACCTTCCTACATGGTTTGATAAAACCACTGACATGCTGCAATAGTCAATGGCTGTCATGTACAGACACTGAACTAGCAAAGCCAGGTTGCCAGAAAGCCTGTGAACAAGATATTTGACTCTTAGAGCAACCCTTCCCCTACGGTACTTCCATTCTGACTTAGCTTCTCCTTCACTGAAGTAAAATGCAGCTAGAAAGACAGTAGGGCTGTGTGAAATTTCACCGGCTGTTTTGATTCAATGCTGTTTCGACTCATTTCGAGCTCAAAACAGCGAAATCGAATCGAAACGAAGAGCTTCGAAACAGCCTCGAAACAAAAAGAGGCTAGTTGAAACATTTCGAAAGTTTTGAAACTTTTCAAGTTTCAAAGCAGCCAGCAGGCAGGTGGTGGGAAACAGGGGAGAACCAGGGCTGCGCTCCCAGCGGCTCCGCAGCCCCATGTTGCTCAGCCAGGAGCATAGCCCTGGCTCTCCCCACATCTCACCGCCAGGCTGTGGGAAGCTGATCACAGCACAGGGGAAGTTCCCATCTCCAGCTGGGCTCAGTTCCCATCCCCAGCCCGACTGTAGCGCTTGGGAAGGGAACTGAGCGATCAGCCTCAGCTCCCTTCCCCAGCTCCCCAGTCCCAGGTGGCAGCACCTGGCTTCCCTCCCTCATCTGGCAGGCAGATTGGGGGCCTGCAGCCCCGGGAGGACTGGCACAGCCCCCGCAGCCCTCCCGGATGAGAGAGGCTGTTTCGAGCTTCCCCATTATAGTGAATCAGCGAAACAGCATCGAAACAGCCTCACTGCAAAACGCAACGGCGGTTTCGAATTGAAATGAAATTCAAAATGAAACGCTGGTCCGTCAAAACCTCTGAACTCAAGTAGAAATGGAACGGTGCCATTTCGCACAGCCCTAAAAGATAGCCATTTCCACAGGCTTCTCCCTGGTGAACAGCAAACCCTGGCTCAGACAATGATTAACCAAAGAAACAAGCTTCCTTCCTCAAAATCATAACAGCAAAGAAGGTTATTTGACTGGCCAATGCTGTTTTCAAGTGATATGTCTGAACCAGTCCATTCCTCTCCCCCACTGGACAAAGTAAGATTGGCTGGTCCAGACTGGCCTCTGAAAGCTCAGAGCTTTGTCTTGTGACTTGGAAAACATATGGGCAATGCCCTCTCCCACCCCATGCCCTAGCCCTGCAGCCAAAGCTTAGGCTTTCTGATACCTGTCCCAAGAGCACTGGCATCAAATTTTCCCTTTTAAGTCCTCCCAATCCCCTTCCCACCCCCTTAAGCAGACTGTCAGCTTGCATAAAAAATCAGGCAGGTGTTGGAGACAGGTCAGAACCACCAATGCAAACCAAGCCATTACTTACGTGAAATTCATATATCTCAGTAAATTTCCGATAGACGAGTTTTTCAGTCAGATCATGCCATTTCACCAGGAACATGTAAACCTAAAAGACAACACACCAGAAGTCAAGCTTTGTGCTGTGTTCTGTGGGATCCCAGTTTGGACCACTGCTTCTGGCCCATGTTCCCAGGGATGCCACATAGATACTTTTGATGGCTATAGTTTTCAGATGCTCCAAGCATTTCCCTCTGCAACCTAGTCCCAAACCCATGTCAGAAGTGACAGCCACACTTCTCGCCTCACATTTGATTCCCTAAGCGTGTGCCTTACAGTATCCTAATACAATTTGGCACCAAGGGTCAGCCTTCTATAAGCAGAGAAATTCAGCAGTTACCATGCTGGGCTCATTCAATGCCTTTCCCACATCACCAAGGTGCCAATCTGCACTCCCCTAAACACCCCTATGCTTCACCCTTACTCAGAGGATTTTCCCCTGAATTGATCAGGGAATCTATTCCCGTCCCTCTTTCACGTCTCTTCCCAAGTCCATAATTCAGCTGAGGGGCCGCTGCAGAGAGTCAATATTTATTTGAATCAGAACAGTTAGAAGTAGCAGGTATATATAGGAATTGCATCCCAAAACTGGTCAAAACACCCAATTTGAGCTGCATGAAGAATCTAGATTTTTTTTTCAAGGCAAACCATTCAAAATGAAAATCCAAACTTCTTGTACTTCTCTTTTCGCTGAGAACCTGAAAGCTCAGTCAGCCTTGAACTGCTTGCAAACAGTATTCTGATATCAGACATGCTGCATCTCCCCCAAATTGGTGCTGACTACTGTAAACAGAGAAAGAGACTAACGAGGTAGAGGCAGGGAGAAAACAGCAATCCAGAAACAAGAAAGAAATGAAAGGGGGAGAGGCACAAGCTTTGCATCTTCAGTACTTGCAAGTTACTAGTTTGCAGCTGAAGCATGGGTAACATTTTAAAACTAGCAGTGATCAGGAACCACCAATTCCCTTCTGGTCTCAACCCAAGTGCACTTGCCCCTTACAAGGCCCAGGATCTGGCTAACAACTGAGATCTGGACACTCTCCCAAAGTCCGTGCCTGTTCAGAGCTGGCAGAGACATTTCAAGCCACTGTCAACCTGCTGTCTCATAAGAACTATTTGCTGGATCAGACCGTAGGTCTGTCTCGCCCAGTATCCTGTGTCACACGATGGCAGAGTTGTCCTGATAAGGAGAATGAATGGGATACCACCAAGGTTTTTTCCACTGTTCCTCTCCCACCTGCAGCCCTCAACATTTAAGGTCTAGGAAGTTCCAATTCAGAGGCAGTCCCCCTAACTCACATGCTCAACAGCTACTGATCCCCCTTTCCTCCAAGGATCTGTCGGATCCTTTTTTGAATCTGTTTAAACTGTCAGCTTCCACCACATCTTGCGGCAACAAGTTCCATGCTTTAATTACATGCCGTTTGAAGAAGAACTTCTTTTTGTTAGTTTTCATCTTGCTACTTATTAGTTTCATTTTATGACCCCTAGCTCTTGTATTGCAAGACAGTAAATAACAACTTCCTATTTCTCTTCACCATTCAGTATTTTATAAACCCTTATCATGTCCTCCCTCAAGCATCTCTTCTAAACTGAACAGACCTAGCCTCTTTAGTCTCTCCACGTATGGAAGCCCTTCCATACCCCTGATCATCTTTGTTGCCCTCCTGCTACAGTCTCGCCCAACCTGATGCTTCCTGAAGTTCTCAAGCTCTTATTTAAAATGTCAGGCTGAAGTAAAGCCAAGGGCGCTTGGGTAGCTGCTTTTCACCTCCTCTGAGCAAGGCTCTCCTAGTGAAACAAAATGCACAGAAAAAAAAACTTCTCCGGTGACCAGTCTGCAGTATGGTGCCTCTGGGTACTTACATAGTGCTGGCTGGGGAAGAACCTTTTCTCAAAGCCCAGCAGCTCAATGTGTCGGATGTACATATCCCCCATGGCCGTGGCTGGGCACCTGTCCCGAACTCGAGAGTCTGGCTGTTGAGCAGATGATAGGCTGGGTCTCTCACTGCTTGCCCAAAGGATCTCTGCCACCTTGTCTTTCTCCGTCTGTGCTTCTTTTTATCCCCTCTGAAAAGAGGAAGTTACGCCACAGCCTTCCCCTTAAAGTGCTTTGCCACCTGTGGCTTTTTTTTTTTTTTTTTGCCTTGCTGCTTCCTGCTCCAAGCCTTTGGACCAGAAACCAAATCCGCTCTTTCCTCCTCTCTGACCCCCAAAGGTTTGCAGTCACCATAAGGAGGAGGTTGGTGATGGAAGGGACCTTTGTGCTAGGAGGAAACAGGAGTCAGATCTACTCTGCAGATGCTGCTTCCTAGGACAGGACCCAGGGAATTGATCAGACGTTTCCAAAGAAAAAAATACTGAGCAGATGTTTCCAAACAGTACAGAGGAAGTCCAGAGCTGTCGCTTTGCTCTCTCTCCTTAGCCAGAGAAATCAGCTGGAAGAAAGCCAGGCAATAGGCTACTTAGGTATCCCACTTCAGACATTGAGTAGCATCAGGGAAAAGTACAAGGAACATGTGGATGGACACATGGGCTCTCCGGTCCATAGTGGAAATTCCCTGCGAAGCTGCACAGTTTGGATCATTACTAAGAGCCGAGAAAAACTGTTGGTAGGGAATCATTTATGCAGCATTTAATTTTTTTTCCTGTTGGTAAACTGTTCCTGAGAAGTTTACGCTTTTCACGTACAGCATCCATTTGCTGAATAATTCTGCTGCTGGCGGACGGCGAGCGCGTGGAATGAGAAGTTCTGCTTTTGTCAACTGTGTCGCCTCTGTGGCTGTGGGTGCGTCTGCTCTGTGCCCCAGAGGATATCCTTTAGACCTTCCCTGACCTTGCAAAACAAGCCTCTTGGGGAGGATGCACCACATCTAGCATGCAGGACTGAAGACAGTGAAGGGCTGGGAAAGGAAGAGGCAGGGGGATCCTGATTCAGTTACTTGCAGTGCCACTAACGTGCCCCTGAAGTCCCTTGAGCCCTGAGTTCGGGGAGAGGGATGAACTCTATGTGCAAAGCTACTAAGAGTGAGCGAGTGCCCCCAGGCCTCAAACCCTTCCTACACACCCCTGCCCAGACCCGAATCTCATTCTTGGCACCCCTCACCCAGGAAGTTCAGAGCTGAGACAAAGGGCAATTCTTTGGGCTC